CGCGTCATTGCAACAGACCAGTCATGTGGTGCAGTGGGGCGGTTGCCACGTGTGGAAAGTGTATGACAAAGTTTTTGCCATTGGCGGCTGGGAAAATGCGGATGGTCCTGCAATCACCTTTAAAACCTCTGAGCTGAATTTTGAGATCCTAAAAGATGAACCCGGGTTTCGTCCTGCTCCTTATCTGGCATCCCGGGGATTTAAATGGATCCAACATCACTGCGAGCCCTATTTATCCAAAGAAAAACTGCAAGAGTATATCTATGATTCTTACGTATTGGTGGCAAAAGGGCTGACAAAGAAAAAACAACGAGAGTTGGGGTTATTGGATTGAAATAAGGAGGAATTGAACCCAACTTTTAAGAGGAATTGAAATAACTTAAATCATTTTCAGTTCTTATTGATTTAGTTATGAATTATTAACTGATGCATTCGATTTCATTTATGAGATAAATAGTGTCATTCTGTGTTTGTAAAACGAAAATTAATTCGGATAAATAAAGGTTTAACGGTATAATCAGTTCGCTGCGGGAGGATTTTTTGCTTCGCTTATGAGACTTATCCTGCTTTTTTCTAATCTAATATGACTCAATGGAACCGATACATGTTGCAGCCTGGCTTAAAGCAATTACTGATTTCAAAACAAAAATCAGCTGGTGATGATATAAAGTCGTTGAATGAGGATTACAGTTATAAAATTCTTTTTCTTTCCAGCATTATTCCCGATCAAAGTAACGCACGATTTTTACCGACTATCCTGATTGATGATGAGCATGCGGAACTCTTGATTAAAAGGGGGCTTAGCAAACAAAAACTTGTTGACATGTATAATGCCGAAGACGCCGTTATGGTTGGCAAAGGGGTTTTTGTCAACTGCCTGAAATATGGTTCGGTAGACTGGAAAAAAGCGAATGAGAGTATCGAGTCTATTATTGAGTTGGCTCACAATATATCGCGCTCTGAAATCATTCAGGCGCCCACCGTTTATCCTTTAAATGATGGTACCTATAAGGTACTCACTGGCCACAGACGCTTCCTGGCGATGATTTACAATTTTGGCGTTAACGGTAACGGTCAGTTTAAAGTCTATGAGAGTCAACCTGTTTTAACGAAATTGAAACAGTTCCAGGAAAATGCATGTAGAGAAGATTTGCCGCAGTACGGAAAGCTTGAAGCTTTTATGAATGCGCGCATGGAATTGGACACTTTATCAGATGTCAGAAAGCAACTTGGACAAAAGAAGTTGACGGTCAGGGAAGAAGCTAGCTTGCTTGGAATTTCATGGGAGCCTATGACAATTATAATGTGTTGA